GGGGTAAGTAGAGATCATGGGGACCAGCAGCCAGAATGGAGAAAATGGAAAAGTTGAAATGTAGCTACTGTGAATAAAAAATTTGATGTCATTGTTGGAGAAAAAGTTGCTGACCTCACTGCCAAAAAGCATGACAAGCAATAATGATGTTAACATTTACATTATCTCGTAAAACTAGAGTCTAGAACCCTACCCTTACCCTACCCCCCTTCCCCACCCCTCAATCCCATTCTCACATTTTCTCAGACAACACGTTCTTCACGTATACTCCACTCAGGTTACCAATCATTAAAACAGGAAGACAAATAGCCAAGGGGTGAGAAAAGACACAGTTGACTTTCGAGGTATGAAATAGTCACACTTGGCAATGGGTCACCCTGGATTTAGTATTACATGGCAAAAATCTCAATCAGCCTACAACTAGCTGAAATTTTAACATGGATGTTTTAACTACAGGTGTGGGACTGGCAGAAAAAACACCTGAATCCTTTCTGAAATGTCATTTGTCAGGGTAGCCCAGGGGATTTTCTATATATAACATTTTAGTTCTATCTCATATAGAATTATACTTCAAAATTTGTTTTTTAATTTTAAACCTAAAGTTTAGTCTACTTCAATCCAAAATAAATTAATAATAGCTAGTACAATAACATTAAACATTGTACCTTCTTTAACCAAAACATTGTCATGGATAGCATTTCAGACCTATTTCTTACCTTATACAAGTGGACTATTGCACTGTGATTTTGTCAAGCTGAATTAGATTAAATTTATTTCATGACACTGACTAAAGAAATAATTCATAGTTGTTATTACCTTGTCTATTTTCTTGGTAGTTTCACTAGCCTTTATCACTTTTGTGGTTGCAGCAGCTGGAGGAATGATGTCTGTAATGAAACAAAAAAAATTGTATATAACAGACGACTACATTCAGAAACGATATTTGCTTATCTTAGAAATAGTCCATATGATGTCACCAAAGAACCACAATTCTTAACAATTCTTTAACATGAAGTTACAATATCCTTTTTTTTTTTTTTTGTGGTTGTTGATGTGGGTGGCATTAAATGGGGAACCATTTCTGACTGCAGTTGGCATAGGTCTGAATGTGCCTTTATACACAACATGTTCATTTATATATAATCTACCTACACACAAATCTGCTCTTTTCTGCTGCTTTCCTACTCCCATTAAATTCATGTGATATCCAAAATGCTTCATCAGAGCAAAACCAAACATTCAATATACTCTTGCTTATGTATCCAAGTAAACATGCTGTTCAATCCTATTCGACCTTCTGGAAACATTCTCTCTAAGTGTCTCTCATCCAAAATAACAGTTATAAGGCTACATTAAGATCACATCTAGCTTCAAACCAAAAGTCCATTTGATATCAACACCCATTGCTTAACATGGAATCTATGACCTCATTCAGAATAGGAGACTAACTAGTCTGAGGGTCAAATATGGCCGTACCACTTGAACACTTCCCTGCAGGATATATTCAGTGTCTATTAGCAGATAAGACGGCAAGCTTTGTAGTGGGTCGTCATATTTGACCCCCGTACTAGTAAGTCCCCTATTCTGAATGGGGCCTATGGCCGCATTCACATCGAGTTGAGCCATGGCTCTACAAAGCCACAACCTAAATATGGCGGACTCACATGAAAGGCAAACCGCCTAATCTTTAATAGTGTCTCCGCCTCTCACACACCTCCCCATGTGTCGTCCCAATGGAGCCGAGATTTAATGACTGTACCTCTGCAGGGACGACGCATGGGGAGGCATGTGAGAGGCGGAGGCACTATTAAAGATTAGGCGGTTTTCCTTTCATGTGCGTCTGCCATATTTAGGTTGTGGCTTTGTAGAGCCATGGCTCAACTCGATGTGAATGCGTCCTATATGTCTGAGGTAAAATGGGGGGCCCTCTTATTAGTTTGTCCAATGGCAATTTAAAAATCTCTTTTTTTTTAAACCTTTTTTTTTTATCAGAATAAAATTTCATTTAAATTTCTTTCAATTGAACAGTTCAGTGATTGTACGCGCATGCAGAAAACATCCTCAGAATTAAGTCTCTGTTTAACACTGTCCGTTATCCTATCTTGCTCAAACTTCATCAAAAAGACAAATGTAAAAATTCATTATGGTCTAAAAAATATACCAGGGACAGGTAAAGGGTTTTCAACCTAACCCTTAAACTGCTACTGTCCATGTTTAAGTCCATTACGAGTTAATCCTGACAATTATATGTTCAAAACACAAAATACTAACAAAAATTAATGTGCATGTCAAAATCTATTAGTACTCAAATCAAAGTAATTTACTAGTTACAGTGCACTTTTATTGGTTGCTAACACGATGGCAAACACAAGGCGGCCTTTTTTTTTAAGCGGCAGAGCTGGACTTTTCTGGTTGAATTATTTTATTGCAACAAACATGAATATACATGTGGCAGAGTCATATCTGAAAGGCATCTTGAATTAAACTCTGGGTATTAAGCATAGGACAAGCTAAAACAGTGGTCATTTTCACAAAAGAGGTTTTTACTTTTAGACAAACATATTTTCTGCTTTAGAACCACAATTTCCCTAGCATGCCAATGAGACCCAGAAATGTTATAGTTCTGTTTGTTCTAAATCTTAAGACACTCTGTTACATACCCCTGTTGTATTTCAATAGCATAACAAACAGACCTATATACTGCCTTTTCTCTAAAGGTTAAGTCTGTGGTTTTTAAGTATTGCCATGCCAACCGATATGAGTTTAGTTAATCCGCACACATAAATCACCTACTATATAACACACTAACTCAAAGATCTTCCAAGCAGAACTACTTTCATTTTCTTAACACTTATCCAGTGAACAGAATACTTCGATAGCACCAAAGGATTTATTTAAACATTTACATAAATGAATTAATGACCATTATGTTCCAGAATTTCAACCTGTAAGATTTTTTACCACATTGACACATTAATCGTAGAATCCATATTATTCTTTGAATTCTAATCGTGAGTATTTGACTTTACAATAGCAGGATTTCATTGCCATTGCCATATAGATTTACTTCCATTTTTATTGTAAAAGACATTTGCCATATTTTCAATAGAAAAAAAATAATTCAGTAAAATAAAAAAAATTCCTAAAATGTATTTTTTGCCTACCGAACTATTTAATTCAACCAAAACGGTTTCTACACTATCATGTAGTGCATGCTCTAAAGAAGCTTCCACTGAAAGTAGCTATTATCCATTATTATCTGATTCAGGTGGTATAACAAATAGCTACCTAGCTATCTGATGCAGATTTTATCAGTGTGGAACAATACCTATACATGGATTATATATGCCAATGGAGTTGAAAATGTCCACTTGGAGTGTATTCTTACAAGTTCAACTTTATTCTAATACAATATCGCACACCCGTAAAACCATATAATGTAGTTAAAAACTTCTTAAAACAAAATTCTAATTTCCTGGAAATTTCCACTTTCCATTCTCCATTATAGTGGGCCAATTGCAAAATGGGTTATGATCTATAAACAGGTATTTGTGTTTTGGGGCCTTAAGTTTTTGAGCCATTTCGAGTGAAGATGGAGACCACTCATATAGGTGAAAATTAGAAAAGACTTCGGACACAAGTTTGTGGAATATGCTTTTTCCGAACATAATTATCTTTCAAAATATTTTTTATTGGACCTATACTTAATTGTAGTTGACAAAACTGGGTCTTCTCAGACACTTCAGCAATCAATCTAATTTTGAATGAGAGAGAGAGAGAGAGAGAGAGAGGGGGGGGAGGGAGGAGGCAATGTCATCAACAAGATTAAATTTTAAGTCAAGGTTTAAAAAAAAAACACCTAAAATATAGGACTAATCTACCTTTTCTTACTGATTCTGATAAGGGATAAATTGGTCATCAAAGGAAAATTGATAAAAAAATGTCTAAAGCACACTACATAAAAGAAAATGACACTTATCATAAACATTTTATCTAGTGAACACAAAACTGATCAAAAATAACTAATAAAGTTTCATTTTACCAAAAACATTTAAATAGGGAATAAATTGTTCTGGTGACTGCTACCTTCTTTCTTCAGGCCTTCATGTCTTGAGACTGTAGTTATACGATTTCACAACAATCTCAGTTACCTTTTTCTCTCAGGTATGAAAAATAACATACTGCATTTCTCCAGCAGTGCAGTTATATTATCTGATGTAACCCACTATTTATAGTCATATCTCTGTAATACTCTGTGATACCAATGGTTGTATGCATGGTTCCAATCATCCAGCTTACAGAATTCCAGGAACAAAATCTCTCTAGTATTTATGTCTCTGGGCAACCCCCCACACCCATAGAAATTCTAAAATGAGTGAATAAATAAATAATTAAATAAATAATAATATTTAAAAAATATAAATAAAAATAAAATACATGAATTAACTATAATCTACAAATAATTTAAATATAAGTAAACAGTTTCCTTCTACAAATAATTTAAATATAAGTAAACAGTTTCCCATGTTCTATCAACAAATCTGCAAATTAACTACAATAAATAAATAGTAACCATTGTTCTTCACATTCTCAATTCTTATCATGATACCAAGCTGTCCTCTTCAATTTATCATTGTCAATTAGGGTAGGCGAGGATGTCTTTGACCATCTCTCTCTCACCCCCTCCCCCCTTGCAGGTTTTACCGATGAGGAACATAAACACACATTCACTTGCCTTTTTATTTTGATTTCAGCAAATGTCCACAATCAATCAAAATTCAAGGACCAATCAAGTACATTCCACCATGATAGGGACCATTCCCAGAGCCTATCGTACTGTGTATCGATCTATCTCTGAGGGGATTCTCACCAAATTGCAATCAACTTAAGCGACTTAGACGTTTGTCACGCCTACAGAAGCTGCTAAGGGGTAATTTATCGTTTAGCAGCTTCAGACATCTAAGCCGCTAAGCTGAAAGCACTTAAGCCAGAATCCACTCTGAGATGGATCGATCCTGTTAGGTTGATCTAGACATGGGAACCCAGTCTTAGAGGAGAAAGCTAGGACCCCCTGGCAGCATGTCATCTGATCAAACTGTATTTGAATTACTAGTACTTGCAAAATTGCCTTCAAATTTCTATTACACTTACAGTCTAAACTGCTATACAATGGCGTAACTTTCCAGGAAATTACACCACCATTATAACCAGGCAGATGCTTTTAAGTGGATTTTCGGTTCTGATGATGGAAAATTGGACATGAATTGCATGTTAAATTACATACTTCTACCAGTTCAAGCTGGCCTAGCTCACTGTTCATGAAGAGTTCAAATTAATTTCAGGAAATAAATAAATAACCTTTCTCAATTGAGGAAATAATAAAAGGGGAACTAAAACTACCACAATATCCATCCACTCATGTAGCAGTGACAACACCAGGTAGTAAGATTATGAAAATGTTCCCCCGTCTACCAAATGATACATGGTTGCTCTCTCTCATGTAATTTTGTATATTTTGCAAGTTTCAAAATAATGTTAGCATCAAACTACCACCTCATTTATCAATTTCAACAATAAATCATCTCTACAACTTTCAGTGCAACAATGTCCATATCTCAAGTTCATATTTAGAATTATATCAATATTTTTAGAACTTTCACAGTCTGGATGCAGGATCAGCCATCATATACAGTCAATATATACAGCAGTAATGAGGCGCAAGCAGTAGTAACATTACATCAATCACTGCAAGTAAAATTTTGTATCAGACAATTCACAATGGCTCATCGGAAATGATGTCTGTCACAAGAATGTTAATATTAACACCACATGGATAATTAGCATAATACTTATCACTGAAGAAACGTGTGTGTATGTGTGTGTGCAAACGCCTGCTCATTTTTTTTTTTTTGGGGGGGGGGGAGGAGATGGGGAAGGCAGTGTAAAGGGTTATGTTTTGGAAAATTTAGCTCAACCAACCTTAGAGATTATGCAAAAAATATATTAATTAGTGCAATATTAATTAAAATTCTAAACAATACCTTCAACAGACACAAACATGTCTGGTGGTAGTGCCAAGGACGTAAGCAATAAAAGGTGGCCTTACACTAACACTGCAGGTGGATTACAATTCAAAGGAAATGCTTTGGGTGCAGGATATGTGGCCATTCCACACCAAAAAAAGGATGGACCACAGAATACTAGATATGCACAGTTTCAGCAGGAAAGGCACATTTCCAGTGAAGTTGTGACAGTTAAACTTGGTAATAGTATCCCAGCATAAAGTGTGTGATGAATTTCAACCATAAAAATCTGACCTAATTTTTCTACATAGTTGTGCAGATTGTAAAACTCATGGAGATCAATCACCTGCCATTTAGACAGGAGAGAATTTAATCAACAGGGTTGTCCGCATTTCATATGGACAATAGACAATGAGTCTCTGTGGGCACTAATGTTGTCCACATATGTACTTTGCTCCCTAACTGGAATTAACTTAAGTATTGTGTAAAATGCCATATTTTGGTACCCAATAATCCAGATAAAAAGGGAGGCAAGAATCATTCATTCATCACAAAAAAAAAATAATAATAATAATAATAATAATAATAATAATAATAATAATAATAATAATAATAATAATAATAAATAAATAAATAAATAAATAAATAAATAAATATATCACCCAAAATTCAACACAGTTAAACATTCAATGTCAAAAAAAAAGGTCTTTAATTCCAGTTTTGGAAACATTGTCAGACAAATAAAATGCACTGCCACATGTTCTTAACTGGTCTGAAATAAGGACTGCCAGAGAGCATGCAAGGCAACCCCATATCTTTTCTATCCTTCATGTCATCCATTTAGTCAACAGTGAGGAAGAGGATTAAAACATGCTCTTATTTCTATTACACACCAGTTTTAATGCATGATGATCACATTATTACTTCATTATTTATGACCATCATGACTTCAACAATAACAACAGCATAAAAGCTTCATCATTTGCTTTAAATAAAAAAAAAAAATACAATTCTAGATTATACAGTAAGGTCCAAATTGTTTTTACGAGTTATATGAAATAACACTAAAACTATATACAATGTGCATGAACATTTAAAAACAAACATCAACTTTGTCATTTGTCACCCAAATCATCAACCTTTAATTAAATATTTTGGTAAATAATTCGAAAACAATTGTTTGAACTGAACACAGGTCAGTGTTTGTAAACTACACAATGACCTTGCTACTGCTACATGTTATTTTATTGATGTTACAGCACATGTAAAGAGTACACAAATGCATGTGCTTGCATCTCACCATCATACTTAAGCAAAATGAATTTACCTTTATTGATAACTAGCCACCAGATAAGCATCGCTGTATCTTCTTCATGCTTTCGCCAATCACATCAGATTGCACAACTTACCATGTAATTAGCAGGCACAGTAATAACCGAAGCCACAACAACTACAGATTTATGAATCCAAGCAACCTGTAATTCAGTGACTGGACCAGTATTTATGGTAACATTTTATTTATTTATTTATTTATTTATTTATTTATTTATTTATTTATTTATTGCCAGGTCCCCAAACCCTTTTTAGTCTTTGTGCAAACTCTCTCTACCAAAGGAAAGGACAAGGTTGATACCTGCATCTATCAAATCTAAAGCAGTCTTATCTTATAAGCCCTGTATGCCTCAATCTGATTAACTAGATAGAGCTCTCCATATATGGGTAAATTACTAATCCACCTGCCAGAGAGGGGGGTTTAACTGGAGCTACTGGCTGGGCCATACTTATGGGAGACCTTAGAAGTCACATGCGTTACTTGGGTAATTACTCTCAAATTTTGAACTAAACGAATTTGTAACTTTCCTGTTTTATCAATGTATTTTGAAAGGTTCAAAGGTTTTTTAAAGTAAGCTGGTTTCCTGTCTTTATCTACATAATTGTGTTAGACGAAAATTGATTAATCTTTCAAAGGCACATTATCACAAAATGTGCACTGCTGAAACATTTAAAACAATTACAGTATAAAGTCACAAGACAAAATGCTACACCATGTGGGATTTTCTCATGCATCATTCACACCACCACCACAACAACTTAGTAAATCAACAGATTCACCTTTCAGTTCTTACGTGATACTGATAACTAGTTCTTTCCTTACAATATATATTTTTTTTTACAAAATGCCTTTAAGAGGAGATCATAGCAATCTGCATGTAAAATTTGCATCTAACCCAGAACAAAATGACTAAACTGTAATTCTGACACCCCCCTCCCCCCAAAACCAAAACCTCCCCCCATATCATATATTCAGCTTTGCACAATGCATTATAAATGATTTCCCCATGTAAATATGCATATCTATTACAGCAGGACATTAATATGCCAGATTGTCAATGCAATATAAAAGTTCAAAATAAATTAAGCCCCCCCACCACCACTATGCCACACTTTGAACACTTGCAACAAGTGCAACTCATGCACTTGCATAGATGTAATCCTGCAAGTACAAAGACATGTTCTATGTGCTAATTTAAGGTTAACTAAAACCGTTTTCTTGACGCAATCCATGATAGCAGATAACATCTTACCCCCACCCTACTCCTATACCAATTCCATTGTTAAATGCCTCAAATTCTCTTTAAATTATGCACTGCTCTACACATACATGGAGTAATGGAAATCTGCAGAGGGTAAATGTCACATAATTTGGCTGCTGTGGGCCAAGATAAATCCACAAAGATCCTGACCAAATGGGCAGACTCATGCAACCTTATGACTATGAGTACCAGCCAGACTGGACTTGATTTGTTCTATCCACGCTACTGTGCTAATGGATGCCTCGACTTTATTCTCAACACACGCAAACTGTGCCCAAGTCCATGTGGATAAAAAATTAACAAGAATTTTTGTTTCTGTGTTTGTCAAATAGCAATTCTACATAATCATCAAAGACATATAATAGCATGGCTATCACTGCAGCCTACAATATGGTCTACCAGAGTATTATTACTATTAAGCTTTAAAAAACTTATAAAATTTTGCTAAATGCAGTCTCATCCCATACTGACATGACACTGAATTTGAGATTACTTAAGCAGTCAAAAATTTGAATAAACCTAGCCAACTGGCATTTGAACAGTATAATAAAGAGTTCAAATGATTAAAAAGGGTGCAGCATTTGTAAAGATAGTTCTGATATCCACACATGGTCAAATGTTTAAATTACATATGTTCAAACTTAAGTGTGAAAAATTCATTTGCTTATCAAATTCTCATAGCAAAGTTTGAAAAATATCATCACTCTTGCTAAAATTTTAAGAATTAAATAACACTGCTTCACACGGTCTAAAAAAATCAAGCATTCTTTAATCTCCTGATCAATCCCCGTTAACCAAAGTGCCAGGTGATCACACATAGCTTGTTCATTAATGACCATGTGATAATCTGAGATTATGACACACCTTTTTTTTTTTTTTCGCACGCTATAATACTCATAAACCAATATTTGTTATTTCATGCAAAAAGTATGGAAGACAATCACATAGATAATCAAGTGACTTTGCACTATTATTTCAGCTTACACACACACACACACACACACACACACACACACACACACACGATAAACAGTGAAAAGCTCTCCAAGAATAAGAATCAAATGGGGCTGTTATTGCATACCTCTTGCTTGTGATCAACCCCATTATTTCTCTATAACATTTTACAAGTGCACATTCAATCATTTATCAATTCAAAGTGTCTGTGGAGAATAAATGCCCAATTCCACACATAGCGTGCAGATTCTAATGTAAATAATACCAAAACTAATCATCAAGATTCATCTGACATTTCATGAAGGTGTGCACATTTCTAATAAAAAAAAACAGACAGTAAATTATCATATTCAAGCAAAACGCAAACAATAAGTGAGCTTCATCTTATGTTTGCCCACATCTTCTATATATGTATACACAATTTTTTTATATGCATATATTTGACTTAGAGCTGCATATTAAATTAGTTTTGAAAGTATTACCTGTGCTGGTTGTTGGAGTCACAACAGCGACTGGCCTGGGATTGCTCAGCTTCTTTGTCCAAGGATTTGTCTTTGGAATTGGGGCTTCCACAAAATTTTTATTGTCAAATATCTTAGGGATTGGTTTAGATTTAGCCGAATCACCAGATTTGTCTGATTTTTCTCCTTCAGAATCTGAACCACTAGTCCTAGAGCTGGCCTGACTGGGTTTTCCTTCCTGTTGTTTGCCTTCCTTTAGCACCTCTTTCTTCAAGTCACCTTCCTTTTGTAATTGAGGGTCTTTTTTGGTAGTGTCACTTGTAACAGGGGGTTCTTTCATGGTAGGAGCAACAGCTTGTTGCTGCTGTGGTTTCCTCGTGAACCAAGGGTTCGTGCTGACATCTGGGGCTTTCTGTACTGGGCTCTTAGGTTGGTTGGCAGAGACTGTCTGTTCCTTTGGAGTCTCTGCTACTTCCTTACGTTGCGCGTCCGTCTGCTGTGGGTTTGCCACTCCTGCCGACGCCATATTGAAAATTCAGGATGTACACAGCTGTTGCAGATGATGTTTTTCCCTAACGTTTTTTTCTGAGAAACAGATGGCAACTAAGACAATGAGTGCCTCAGACACAACAGGTATTATGAATATCAAATTATATGACGCCTTTTACCACCTGTCGTGAGGAGAAATTTTTCAAGAGATGCAAAGTTTCTCACAATATGGCATGAAGCAATATGACCCTCAATCTCGAAACTAGGGCAAATCAAGGTCACCGGGTTTTAACTAATTGTCTAAATGAATTTCACAAAATTCCACGATCGAAACCAATTGTCAATTGTTTACGTGTCACCTGACTATATAATCCTTGTATACGTTAAACGAAAGGTCGTAGTATGGTCCACGAAAGTCTACTTTCAGGACACTACGATGAAAACCTGGCCCTATTTGACCACGTTGTTCACTTATCTTCCGTCTCGTCAATTCATGGGTTGAACTCCTCGCGTTCTTGGGGATATTCTTCTTGTCGGTCGTCGGGGACTTTGTTGGCGTTCTTGAGTTAAGGAAGACCTTTAATAATTACTCACGGAGACTCGGCCAAGACAACATGGCTTGCGAATCTGAATAGATATCACAATATGCACATGTCGCCATTAGCACACGAGGGGGAAGGAATGAGCATGCGCGGACACTTACCCACGTGGCTGTGTTTATACTGTTTCAGGGCTTTTGCCCAACTAAAGCAATGTATTTGCACGTTATTGCACCCCCTCGGGTATTGAAAATCACAATCGTTTCCACCCTTTAGGCTTTCTCCCGTTGCGTTTTTTATTCATGTGAAAGCGCTAAATTGATTTGAAAAATCAATCAAATTGAAATGGGCATTAATGGAGGTCGTGGAGCCAGTCAGTTTATAGTTATTAAAAACAACGGGAATTGGGAAACGCAATATTCTAACGAATGCAGTTATATGATATGGATAAGAAGTTAAATGTATGGTTGCGTCAATTTTCAACGCAAGTTTTTTCCTCCGTAAAGATTTTTCAAACAAGAATTCCTGCAACTTTTATTTGCAAGCATTTTGCACTGCACAAAATGAGAAGTAAACAATTAATAAACAAAACAGCTGTTCTTTATTAGGCACCACTTTATCAATACCTGATGTAAAAGTCATTCAGTAAAAAATAAATATCCTATGTGCATGTTGATACAAATGCAGTAAAATATCACACTTTATATTACTGAGCACAGCTGTGGATTTCTCCACTGAATTCTTTCAGGAGGGAGATAAGTCACTCCACCAAAAAATACCTAGTCTCATAAAATACATGCTAAACTGAGAAAGAAAACATGCTTTTAACAAGAATTGTGTCAGTGAAGAGAGGGCACACCTGTGCATAGTTTGTAGCTTTTTAGAGCATCCAGTACTAAAAATGTTAAGTTCACTCTTACTACTCTTTGCTTTTGCTTACCATTTACTATCATTTTAGCCAAACAGAATTTTTGTAGAAAAAAAAACATTTTTTTTCATTTACCAATTTACCATTTCATTTACCATTTCTTCTATTTCAGCCATCTAATTACTCTGAAGACAAAGATAAGTTTTCACACTCATCATAAAAGACTTGACCTGAGAAATATTTCATGGTAATTGTCCCCCCCCCCCCAAAAAAAAAAAAAATAAAATAAAATAAATAAATAAATAAATAGATAAATAAAATAAGGTGTTGTCAACAAATACAATCTCTCCCTTTTTTTATCTGATGTAGAATTAATTTCAAAATGGCAAGTCTGCAGTTCCCTTCATGTCAGCTTTATTCCTTGGCTGTTGTTAACAGTATCATATTGTGTCATCTGCTGGTCAAAGGTGTCCTTAATGATTTGTCTGCAATGAAAAATTGTATAAATTTTATGTAAAAAATTGTGACTTTTTCTTATATTCTAATAAAAAAACACTTTCTTTCACAGCAATGTTATTCTTCCATAAATCTTTGGAAAAAAATTACTTAGCCACCAATACATAAATGTTATTAGGGAAAGTTTGATAATGGGTCAATTTTGTTCAGTCACCAAAGCTACATGGTCAAATGTTACATCACCTAACAAACACAAATAAGTTGAAGTTTAAACACACACATGGTAATGATCTTTTCAATGGGAAAAAAATTTACCCGATTTTTTAATCACAAAAATTATACTTTTCATGGCAATTGTGCTTTAGAGTAGCCTGCTTTTTAATTTTTTTGCTACCACTCAACAGGAATGTTTCTGACTAAAAAAATACATTACACTGTCTCTCTAAAATTCACAATTCCCTCCCCATTGAAAAGATCAAGTAATCACCGTAGATACAGCCAAATCAATCTGAACCTTACCTGTATATATGAAATGCAACTGAAGCAGACAAGTGTCCACCGTTAATATATCTGATCTTACACCCCGGCCACACCTCCTCAACACTACAGACACTATCCCTGGGTATATACTGGTCATTTTTGGCCACTACGAAGGTGGCCAGGCTGGGATCAACAGGTACACTGTAATTTCCCAAATGAGTGCAGTGGTCCATGAGTCCAGCCATAAAGTCTCTCGTCTGTTCATCTAGATTGTAAAATTTTCCTTTTCTTTTCGTGTTGAGAGTCTCAGATGCTGTCTGTGTTTTAAGGGACTCTGTATCTGACTGGAGTATTTGTGCTGAATTTCTCCTCAGCTGAAAAAAAAAAAGAAAAGATATTGAAAAATTAAAATCTATTGACAAGTAAATTTTTTACACAGGATTTACTTGAAAAAGGTTTTTTTTTTTTCCAGGAATTTTTTTTCCTACACATGAATCAATGCTTGATCATCCCTGCATTTGGATTCGAAGTTTAATTCTATTCTTAATTCAATGACGTAGAATGCCAGGTATTCCTATGCATATATGATGTCAGGTCCCTTTCTAGAGGGACGCTATAATTGCTTTTGTCTGAATTTGGAAAGATAAGTAGTTTTGCAGAATATGTAGACAGAAAAAATGACTTTGGTAAAAATTTTAAAGTGACTGTACAGTTTACCTTTAGCATATTTAACTGATCTTTTATATAGAATGTTATATTTGTACCCAAGATAAATATTTGACAAACCCCTCTTCCTGTCCTGCCCTGTCCATCTCACTACCTCCCTTGTACCCATGAACAATACACCATAAATATTAATTAAAAATCTGAACCAACCTTCTCTGGTGATTGTATTATATTCCACAGATCTTTATAAATACTGTTGGCACTATACTGCTCCTTTAGCAGATTCCAGCGTAGAGCTTTGCTTAATGCACCCTATAAAAATAACTGAATAGTTAAATTGTGAAAATAAATATTTTAAATTTTTTTTCACACAAGAACTCATGAAAACTTTATTTGGGAGCATTTTCTACTGCACCCTGGCTTCATTTATCACGCACTTACAGTTCTCAATCTGTAATGAATGTAACAGTTCAAGAACTGTTTTGGGCAAGTCCTAGAACAGGTTAAGATCATTTTTCATTAAAAGAGAAAGACATTACATTCTAGGACAGATTGAGAACCGTGAGGGAGCATAAAATGAGACAAATTTTTGCATGGGATGTTGAGTGCACCCTTACCTGAGTATATGCAGATGATGCTGTACTCCAAGAGAGACAAGACACCAAAGGAATTGGTTTGGGCCAATTACTGGCGGCTAATGCAGCCATCTGCAATGAGAGATGAGATTAGAGCTTACATAAATCTTAAATAAATCCAAAGCAAACATAAAATCATTCTTAAAGGTTGAAGCTGAAATCAATTTTAATGTAAATAATAATAAAAAAATAAATAATAATAATAATAATAAATTTGCAACCAAAAGTTGGATGGTATATTTATAATATTAAAACAGTAACTGTAATATATACGCTAAATAAATTATATCATGATTATTATAATGTATTAAAACTCATCATTGAATGTTAAGTTTAATGTATATTAGTAATTTGCATTTATTTCTGAAATACATCCACAGCAAACATTTAGTAATTTTAATAGATTAAGAGCAAACATATAGTTACTCTATCAGATTGACTGAAATCGAATTTCAATATACATTACACACACACACACACACACACACACACACACACACACACACACACACACACAGGGGTAGTGGCAAGCAATTTTTTCCATTTAGCCAAATCACCACTTTTTGTCAATTTGTTATCCAAATGGTTATGTTTTGAATAAAACAAGTCAAATCAAGCCATTTTTGTTTAGCCAATTTAAGTCAGTTTTAGCATTTGGCTATTTTAATAACTCATATAAGGTTACATAAAACTTGTATAAAACTGAAAGTCCACTACTCACATATCCGCCCAGAGATACTCCATAAAGACCCAAAGGGCCATACCCCTCTCTCTCCAGCCAGTTGCCAAGTACAAGACACTCAAGAATCAATGCTCCTCCCATCACAAAAAGGTCCAGTGTATACTGCAGATGAGAAAGCCTGATAAAATATATGCAAAAAATCAATCAATCAATCAATCAATAAATAAAGTAAATAATAAAGAAATGACTGACAAACAAATATGCCAAAATACGCCATGCAGATTAACATTTCAATAGCCAAACTTTCCATTTCACAGGTTTTTCAAGAAAGAAATGATATTAATAAAACAGATGGCACTTAAAGGGATAATTTTCCTGGAGTAAACAACAATTTTCCCATACTTACCAATGGTTAATGAATCCATTTTTACATTCAAAGTTAGTCCCTGTTTTTTTTCTAAAAAGTTTGGTTTTTTTGTTAAAATCTCTTAAGAGATTTTAACAGAGTATAGCCATCAATGGAGGTCACGTGGTCTAAAGACAAGCTCAGATATCAGAATAATAGCTATAACTGCCGTTTTTGTGGTAAAACAGAATATATAATATTTCTGTGAGTTATTCACAATGTTTTTATTGAGAAATATAGATCTCATACGAAGAGTTATTATCCCTTTAAAGTGCCAAGACAAGTACAAGTGGCAACCTGTTTAATTGCAAAAGATCACTACTTAAATTTGGACACTAACCAGTTCTAATCACCGGAAATTCAAAATGATTTCATTTCAGCTGTCAAAGGCCGTGATGCTTACTTCAAGTCATAAACCATTATTTAAAAATTTATAATATTATTTTCTACATATTAGCAAAACTGATTATTGAAAAAAAAGTGGTAGTGAAAACCAAACTAAGATACTTAATACTTTTCATCACTAAGGCATAAATAAGCAGAAATTTAGTATTCAAACATATTTGTAAAATTTTGACTTACTTCTGTTCTGGAGGTTTTCTGGACCCATGTGTCAACATTAAGGGAAACAACTCAAACCAATTATAACATGCAAGTGCTAAGTTGTTACTTTTATAAATAAAACATAGATAACTTAAGTTTTTAATACAGTATAACACGGCATTCAACCCAGAAACCCAAGCCCCATCCTTCAAGGGTTTGACAAACACATTTTGGGATTTTTGTCAGAAATAAGGCAAGTTGTATGCAGTACAGTTGTTGAAACACTGTTATTCCTGCTCATACTGCAGGCAATTAAAACTCACTATGTAATGCACTACACATACCTGGAGAGAACAATCACACAGTATCTCATGTGAAAGAGGGAAGTTTAAATGTATCAATTAATTTTTGAGTAACTATTCAAATAATACAATTTCACTTAATTATGCTATTTTCTTCTATTTCTTTTGTTTAAATGTGGGACTGTTTGTGTACAATATGCAACTGTGTAATTTTTGAGGGGAAAAAACAAATACATTATGAAATGGTGCATTATTTTACCCCACATTAATTTGCAAACCTACAAAATACAATTTGACACAGCTGTTTAAAGGATATAAAATGGCATTTCCAGCAATATGGATCCTATGCCATCTTGTTCTGCCAAGGGCTTAGACATGATTTGCCTCCTCACTACATAACTCTGCAATGATAAAATCATCATATCAATTAACTTATTAAACAATCAATCAAAAAGAAAGAAAGAAAGAAAAGAATGAAGAAACAATCAATAAATAATGGCAAATATTTTTAAAAGTGTAAAAAATCTAATGAAATGATAAATTCATTGTTCCCTCAAGTATAAATAAACATCACACCTTCAGTACTGAACTTGAGAGAAACCAAAAACTCATTCAATTATTTCCATAATTCCTGACACTCATTAAAATCTGCTTCATTTTTATCTCATATTCTTGTACCCTTTTTCCTAAAAATCCAAAACCTACATGATCTCCAGTTTGTGGCAACATAATACACACTGGCTTGTTGTTTGTTTTCCACTTCTTCGGCAAAATCATTTGAAACCTTCATGAAAGATAAACAGAAAATTTATCAAGAGAAAAATCATAGTAATGATTCAGAAGAAAATTGTTATCCTCGCACTTTGGTGACAAATGTTATCCTTACTTCAGTATGTTTTATATTATTAACAAAGCTTTATGTTTTGTATATGTTTAAACACGAAAAATAAGTGGGATACTATTCACATGGGTAAAAGCAAGTACTAATAAAGAACTGGACAAGAATTTTGTATAACATGTGTAAAGACAGCAATACGCAATACTGCATGCAAAGATCTTTCATTTAGCACAGAAATCAAGTCATGAAAACAAGTTAAAGTAAGTGAAAGTAAAAGGCACAGCAAGAGCAGCCTTGAAGGAAGAATTCTGTATATGAAGATCCAAAAGGCAACATTCTCTCACCGAGCTATCTCAGATTCCTTGGGCAGAAGACCAGGCAAGTGATGTGGAAATGGTGATGTAAAATGACCATCAAAGACAAGAAGACTTCCTGTCTCATATTTCTTTTAAAAAAAATAGAAAATAAGAGAGCAGGTTTGTCATGTTTGTCATTAGGCAAATACACATTACTTAATTATTTTTTTCTTACTCTTTTTTCATTTGTATCTTTTTTCTCTGAACATTGTCATTAGTGTCCAAAAAATTAGTTTATGTGTTCCCCAATTTTAAGCAAAACCACATTCGCATGGCAAAAGAAAATATAAAAACATGGATTTTCTTACTTTGTTAATATTAACTTGATGGTTTTTGTCTACAAGTTTTATGCATTTCTCCCTGTCAGATAATTCTAGTCTGAAAAGTAACATTCTGGAAAAAAAATAACCAGCATATTTAAATCAATATCTTGATACAGATCATTAGATAAAAGCAATGATATTACAAATGAGACTTTTCCAAACTGCCAACTTATTAACATCATTGAAAACATTAATCTAAATAATTATTCTGTCTATATTAAATACTGTCATTCAAATTTTATTAAATTAAACTGCCAAAAACATACTGATTATTTTAAATTTGACTTTATTTACTGCCATAGACTAAATCCATACAAATAAAATTGTGTGGGTAAGAGGGAAAGTACTTCAAGGAGGAGGAGGAGGGGGGGGGGCTAATGCTTTATAAAAAAAATCCAAGAGCTGCACTTCATCAAATAATTTACCATCTTCAGCGGCTTTATTTAAAACAGAATTTTTTCATAAGAAGAACAACCATACAAGTATCATCACAATTTATGATGTGTAAATGTGCAGTACACCTTTTAAGACTTTCAGGTTTGCCGAACCCTTTGTAGAAAAATTTTAAAGGGATGGCCCGTCTTACTGTATGGTCTAACCAGCTCATCATTCTCACTGAAAAATGAAAATAAGACCTTTTCTTAACAAGAAAGACACAACATTAAGGATCAATACTGCCTCCTGGGTATGTGACACCATGCTCACTTAGAAATGCTGAGAAGTTATGTGTACCGAAGAACGTAATAATTATATTATTCATTAAAATAAAAAAAATAAAAGAATATATAAAAATAATAGAAAGATATCCCTGCACTTAAAAACTCCACATGTCATTATCATACCAATGATTGGTCAGCTACCATGTACTATATCATGTAGATCTCTTGTGTTTTGTACAAGGGTACTTTTTGCCACTGACTGTGCAATATTACTGCGCACTATTGTTTGACCTCAGGTCAAAGTGAAATCTAACCCTCTGATTGGTCAGTTACCACACAGACCATTTTGAATACGGTCTTGAACAACACAACTTTGCGTAGATATAAAATCATCAGGTGTGCATGCATGGCTGCTTGCAACATCACGTAACTATGGGGTATGGGCAGGCATAACAGAGATGATAATTCGAATTGATGTCAGGGTTGTATATTGATCTAGATATATAAATCTAGTTATTTCCAAACTAATAGTAGTCTTTCTTTATGCTTTGGAGGGCAATTGGTATAATAAAACAAATAGTGTGCAGTCTCCCAGGGACCATGGATAATACTAATGCACAGTGATAAAAAATGACACCCTTCTTCATCGTCCCTTCAGGACTTTTTACCTAGTGCATGGCATACTTAAAGCAATAATAACTCTTCCTTTGAGATTCAAAAATCCGCAAGAAATACATTGTAAACAACGCATGGAAATATATTCTATTGCATTTTACCACTAAAACGGCCGTTATTGTAGTAAAACTATAATCTGTGCTTGTCAGTTGGGCTTTCGATGCCTTCATCAAGGCATTTGTTGCCAATGACGTTTGGGTGTCACGCGGATTCTCGCGTTCATTCGAGACCAAAATAACATATGGCGCCAAGTGTAGTCCGCAGAGTAAGTTGCAAGTTTTTGTACAGTGCATCGGATAACGAACAGCCCAGAATGGAACACATTGTGGATATAAATGCATTTTTAACAAAAAGACAAATATATCTCATGAATCTTATATTATTGTTATATAGTGTTGTTGTTGTCTGCTTTTCCCGTGGTTTTAAGTAGGTCACCAGTGACTATGCAATGTCAGAGAGAGCTCCGTCAGTTAAAATCTCTTAAGAGATTTTAACAAAAAACCGTACGTTTAGGAAAAAAACCCTGGATTAACTTTGAATGCAGGAATGGGGTCGTTGACCATTGGTAAGTACGGGAAAATTGCCGTTTTTTCCAGGAAAATTCAATTTTTGGCCAAAACGAAGAGTTATTATACTTTAACAAAAAATACTATTAAATGTTGACACAAAAAGTACAATAACACTGTCGATCAACAGTTACTTTCAATTTCGCAATGAACAGCTGAGCGTGTAATACACATATCATATTTCTCTTATGTGCATTAGAAATCAACAATGGATATAATTATGTATACCCACCCAGTATGCAAAAATAACTGCAACTGATGAAAGATGCATGTATTGAAAAGCTTTATTTTCAAAACTTTTCACAGATTTTCACCAAACACCAGGGTGAACCCCTCCATCTTGACCCAATTAGCCGTGGAACGAGATCTCGAGAATATATGTGCAGCATAATTGTCTTTTCCTTTGAATTTCAGGTTTGCAATTTCACTGATTATTTCAAAATTTTAAGCTGGTCTAAGCTTACCCTAAAATGTTTGTTTTATTTTACCCAAAAATGTTTTTGCAGAACAGTCAATAAACGTCTCGCCAATAAACGAGATCTCGTTGTGATGTTTACACACAGTTTCGCACGTGTTTACACCACGAAGTTATATACCATCACTTGCATTTGGCTTGCATCATTTACACCGGGATAGACGACAAACTATACCAGAATTGACCAAGTTTTGCTTGAAGACCGACAGCGTGAAACTGCTCAGAAATCGCTGCTTGACATTTATTACTTCCTGATATTATTTCCAACTAAGCATTGATTGGACAGATATTATACTACTAGTCGTGTTTAAATTTGAAGAACATTTATAAAATGTTGCAGTCTATAAAGCACAAACTTGGGGGTATGAAAATAGTTTTGGCAAGCGGATCTCCAAGGAGAAAATTGATCTTAGAAAATGGGGTAAGTAAAAATATCAAACTGCGATTAATTTGCTTAATAATTTAATCATAAATGTACTTGTAATATAATGTATCACCCGCAAAGAAAAATCACGTAAAATTATTTACAATGCCCGCATATGTCAGTGAATTTAAATATTTTGTATCCATCAAAAAAGTCAAAAGAATTTACTTTCATGTTGCAGGGTTTACAATTTGAAGTAATTCCATCAACTTTCGAAGAAAATTTAGACAAGGCAAGTTTTTCCCATGCCTATGAATATGTCATGGAGACTGCAAAAAGAAAAACTGTGGAAGTAGCAGAAAAGCTGAGAAGTGAGCAGGTTAGGGTGAAATATATTTTTAATGACAGTTTAGGCATGAAAAGAATTATTGCATAATCATATGATGTCTCATTTTTCTGGCAGCCTGAATAAAATCCTTTATTTTTTTTCCTCTTTATCTTTGTACTGGTTGTGCTCATAATTCGCGCGACAATCCGTATGCGTATACTCCATGTACGTATTAACTCTGTACTCACGCCCCCTGAGAGACAATGGGTTGTTTTGATAAACGACAAAAGCCTGTGTAGATGTGAATTTAAGGAATAAATACGTGTATTCATCAAACCTTTTTATTTATAACAATAATTTATTTATTTGTTTATTTATTTTTTTAATTGCCTGAGCACTGTGAATATTCCTTATACTTGCTGAAATATGTGTAATTTTTAACAAGGATTAAATATAAACAATAAGCAGGTGAAATTTCCCAAAAATGATGTAGAGATATATAAGCACAGCTAGCCTACCTATCACTGTATCAAGTAAGAAGGTTTAATTGAACATAAGTCCTTGTATCTCTTGCTGTCTAAATGCATGGCAATTGGCATGCCCAATCCCAGCTGGTGCACCATAATTTTCTACCCTTTAACTTAAAATACAATTTTTTAACAACCATCAGAAGAACTTATCTTCCTTTAGTTTTTTTTTTTTACTTCTCAATGCAGATTCATAAAACTTTTTACTTTTTTCCCAATATCTTTCAGAGGTTACCAGATCTTATCATTGGAGCTGACACAGTTGTTACTATGGATGACAAAATTTTTGAGAAACCCAGGGATAAACACCATGCCTTTGAGATGCTGTCAGGGTAGGGTTATTTGTCTTGGAGCAATAAAAATAAGACTCAGAAAAGCTTATACGTACATTGAATAAATAAAACAGTGCCCCGTTCCTCACTCTAGTTGTTGATTAAAATGAAGCCAGGCCAGTAAAATTGTTAGAACTTGTTTAAGTTATTGGATATGTATGTGCATTGCTTCTGCCATGGTTTCCTACACCCCAAAGGCTAAAAACATTTTTACACAATGTAATTTTCTAATTTACATAAAGTTGCCTTTAACTTGTTTTTAAGCTTCAGTGGGAGAAATCATTCTGTGTACACAGGAGTTATTCTTTTGATACCAGATTCCTCCACTATAAAACCTGTAGAGGATAGCACAATCAAGACAACTGTGCAGGACGGATTTTCAATCACACAGTTTTATGAAGTGACAGAAGTTTTAATGGGATCTTTGACCCCCGAGGTCATCACTGCTTATATAGAAACAGGAGAACCTATGTAAGTTTTTGGGTAATTCTGAGTCACATTTATTGCACATTTTGTAATATTTGCACATTAAAAGTGACATAAAACACTTAATTTGAGACTGAGGTTTTTGTCAAAAATAGTCTAATATAGTATGTCTGTTTTTGTAGCCTCAACCTAGACAATTATAGTAGTTTTCCCTTTGAAGTCAGTGAGTCTTTTTGTGACTGATAACTGGTGTAAATTGTGAATTATCTGTAACACACTGACAGGTGACTCAGACTCTGCTTAGCAATCTGCACTAAAGTTCATACTTACTGGACATTTTGGTGCCCATCTCTCTCTCTCTCTGTGTGTGTGTGTGTGTGTGTGTGTGTGTGTGTGTGTGTGTGTGAGAAACCCAAGTCCAGTGTGATATACACTTTTTCATATTAGTTTATTGCTGGCTCAGTCATTATTATCATCCTACATTTAATGATTTTATTTCTTTTACAGGGACAAAGCTGGAGGTTATGGTATCCAAGCTAAAGGAGGTACTTTAGTGGAAACAGTGCGTGGTGATTACTTCAATATTATGGGATTTCCACTTCATAAATTTTGTAAGGTTTTGTGTGCAATGCTCTCTGACAAGAAATCTTAGCAGGAACAATCAGAGAAAATGACTCAAAGGATTTCTTATACACTTTAAGCAGCACTTGGAAGGTTTTTGTGTTTACAAGACATATGAGTGAGAACAACGAGAAGAATATTGACTGAGGGTTTATTCATGCCCAGCACAGTGGAATTCTTTCCTGTACTAATTAAGTCAGTAAATAATTAAACTTTGGTCACAGCACTCTCTTTTCACATTAATCTTAGTCGTAGTATTTAACAGCAAAGATGGTCCTACCTGCAGTCAGTAATAATAACAATAACAATAATAATAATAATATACATTCATAGGCTTTCTTATTTACTTTTGTTATGTACAGACACAGATGTGTCTGTACATATAGCCGTTATCTGTGTCTGTCGTTGCCGTCGTCGCCATCGCCGTGCACTTTTACCGATAACACGATAATATTCATTATACACAGGTCAAGTTTGAAAATCAGCATGATCGGGTCACTTTTAGGGAATTTATGCTGTTTTTTCACTTTTTTCAGCATATATGCAGCACTGGTAACACGATAAGTAGAAATCCATTTTACCTTTTGGCTTGAAACTTACAGAACTGATAAATATTTATAATACGCAGGTCAAGTTTGAAAATCAGCATGATCGGGCCATTTTTAGGGAAGTTATGCTGTTTTTTCACTTTTTTCAATATATATGTAACACTGATAACACAATATAAGAAAAACAGATTGGCCAATTGTCATTATACTCACAGAAGTTGTCAATCCTGCTAAAATGCAGGTTGAGTTTGAAAATCAGCATGATCTGGCCATTATTTTAGAAGTTATACTGTTTTTTTTTCACATTTCCTCAGATTCAATTCTTAGGCATGTTAACAGTTTCATTATTGAACTAATAAGATACGTAAAAGTGTTTGTTTGATATTTCTTGCATCTTTACAACATTGTTAGTTGATTTTGTAAAAATGATGGTTAACTTGTTATTATGTATTGTGTAATAAAGTGTCAAAAAATGGAAATAAACTCATATCATTGCAGTTTGTCAGATTCAATCATCCACTATGTTCAGAATCTCAGAATGGAGGAAATTGGACATTTAACACTGTTCTATTGATACTTTCCCCATCTCATCAATTTTTTCAGTTGGTCATATAAAAATGGCAGTAAAATGTTTATTTTGTTTTATGTTAAAAAAAGTGTTAAAAATGGAAATAAACCCATTTCAGAACAGTGCTGTCATGTTTACATTTTGGCATTTTCAAGATGTGACTTTGAAGTTCCATGGTCCTGAAGACCTTTGCTAGTCACATTTTCTGAATATCCGTGATACAAATATTTTATAATTAAAAATTGATGGCCATTATGCTGTTAAACATTATGTAATGTTGCATCCAAATTTGAAGAAACCCCTATTTTGGGCACTGCTCCCATGATAACCATTTAAGGAAAATCATGTCACTTACTGTTCTCAAACTTACAGGAAAGAAACATGTGACTAAAATACAGTTTCAGTAGGCAATGCAGTCTGTTTGGTAAATTTTTCTGGCAATTTAAGTTTTTTGTGAAAATTTAATTTTTCACTTATTGGCATTTTCAAGGTGTGACTTTGAAGTTCCATGGGCCTGAAGACCTTTGCTAGTCACATTTTCTGAAAATCCATGACACGTATATTTTATCATTAAAAATTGATGGTTATTATGCCGTTAAGCATTATGTAATGTTGCATCAAAATAGAAGAAAACACAATTTTTGGTGCTGCTGCCATGATGACCATTATGGGGAAACCATGTTACTTATGATTTTCAAACTTTCAAAAAAGAAACACAGGACTAAAATGCAGCCCGAGTTGGAAAAGCAGTTTAATTGGCTTCTTTTTCTGGAAGTTATACATTTTAGTGAAATATTCATTATCTTTTTGGCATATTCATTGTGGGACTCGGAGCTCCCATGGACATGAAGCCAAATGGTAATCAAACTTTCTACATGTCCATGCTATTTATAGTCAATAATCAAAAATTGGTGAAAATTATTCTATAATTTATTATGTAAAGTGACATCAAAATTGACAATAATCTTTTTGCACTGCTACTGCAAACATTATGAAAAGAAAACTGTGCTACTTATTATTATATTTAACTTATAAGTATGATTTTTAGGATTGGCATGCAGTTCAAATTAGAAAGCCAGGTCAATTGGGTTATCATTTATTATTGAATTTATGCAGTTTTGTGTGAAATTTTCATTTTTCTCATTCTGGCACTTTCTAAGTATAAACTTGAACTCTGATGGGCTTGAAGCCTTATGATTTTACTTTCGTCGTTGTTACCTGTTGTGCATAATT